AAGTTTTCTCCCTCTGCGATGATGTCCTACTATACAATGACCGCGTAGTGATTCCAAACAGCCTACAAAGAAAAATCCTTAGGGATTTTCACATGGGACATCCGGGGAAGAACCGTACGAAAAGCCTCATGCGCTGCTATGTTTATTGGCCAAACGTGGACAAGGACATAGCAGACATGATACAATCATGCAAAGGATGCGCGATTGCAGCAAAAGCTCCAACCACGACGTGCAAACCATGGCCAAACACAGATCATCCATGGCAAAGAATTCATATCGATTTTGCAGGGCCTATAGACAACATGTACTACCTCATTGTTGTGGATAGCCACTCAAAATGGCCTGAGGTCCTACCATGCAAAAGACCAACCACAAACTGCACGATCGGATTTCTACACGAGCTATTCGCGCGTTTTGGCGTGGTAGATTGTGTAGTTACAGATAATGGCACTCAATTCACATCAAGTGAATTTAGAGATTTCTGCAAGTCATATCAGGTGGACCACATTACAAAGCCTCAGTACCACCCGAGGTCGAATGGCCAGGCCGAAAGTTTCGTGGACACTCTAAAAAGGGCTTTAAAAAGGCACTAGGCACACCGACAGATAGAGCATTGCAACAGTTTCCGCAGGTGTATCGGATAACCCCTAATCCGAACACGCCTATGGGAAGCTCGCCTGCAGAAACAATGTTCGCAAGGAAAATTAAGTCTGTCTTCGACAAACTTATTCCACGGCAAGCAAAGTTAAAAAAACCCCGTATCGCCTCATAAGAAATATTTCAATCCTGGCGATAAAGTCTTTTTCAAGGCTTACAAAAACAACATAACATTCTGGGAAGTAGGCACCATAAAACAAAGAATTGGCGAACTGGTCTATATTGTCCAAGGACCGAAAAACACTCACAAACGCCATTGGAACCAAAATGAAAATGACGTTTGAAGGAATCGGAGGAATCACTACAAAATAGCTGTGAAAAGCCGATCGATGTAATTTTCGATCACTTCGATCTCGACACGCCCCAAGTCTCTCCTGAAGTGTAACGCTCAGGAAGGAAAAGGAAATTTACTCAACCGCTCGACGTAAATCCCAAGAGAAAAAAGTATTAACAGTTTCATGTTTTTTTTTCTCCTTTTCAAAAAGAAAAAAAAAGAAAACTCTTGGAAGGGGGGTATTGTGAGACCGTAACATACCTACAACATGTACTCTTTCAGGACTATATAAAGTATGCGACATAACACTCTAGAGAGAGAAGAAGAAGAAGAGGAGGAGAGAGAGTATTCTAATACCGTAGTATCAGCCGCGTACGACTACCAATATTGAACACTAGCACATAGTAAGCTCCGCTTACACTTACACTATCTTTGTAACCTTTTTGTTTAATATATCTTTCTTACCTCTAACCCGTGTTCCGTCTTTTCCTTCCGTGGTCCCAACTTTGGGTCCACATCACTATGTTATCCATAAAAGCAATTAAAAGCTTTTCTAATTAAATAATGTCTTAGTTTTATTGCATTTTTCATTTTACGATTGAGAGCAGATTTTCGGTCACTCGTGCTTCCGTATTATTTAAACAAACTAATTTTTGATTTAAATTTGTCAAGGGTTTTGCTTTTAACTAATATAAACATTAAGTGGCACAAAATTTAATTTCTCGAAATTTCATAAAATTAAATAAATGGGAAGTAACAGTAGTAACAAAATATATTTTACCAGGATTTTCTAATAAAAGCATTTCTAAAATAATTTCATTCATAAATCCTGAAAGTTGGAATGTTGAACTGAACCCGTTATTTCGCTCACTGGGGTATACCGTAAACCGACATTCACCGGACAGTACCTCAATTTACACTCCCACCATCCATACAGCATAAAGAAAGGAGTCGTCCGCTGCTTGCAACACCGAGCAAAAGTCATAAGTGGCGACCCAGAGACATTAGATAAAGAATTGGTCAGTATAAGTAGCACCCTACAATGTAACAATGACCCTGGGTACATGGCAGCAGCCCCCAAAAACTGAGATAGGCGTGTACAAGAGGAGGACAACAACACTCGGAAAACAGTTTGCCTGCCTTATGTGAAGGGGTTATCAGAGAAAATACAAAGGATCTGCGGTTCATATAACATCAGGACAACCTTCAAAAGCTTGACGACACTTCGCAGATATCTCTCCCGAGTGAGACCCCCCCATCATAGAGGAGAACATGACTAAAGACTGTGTGTACGCTATCCCGTGCAGCTGCGGAAAGAAATATAAAGGATAGACAGGCCGCCCTCTTAAGGTAAGGCTTCAAGAACATCAGAAAGCTGTAACACGAGGGGAAGTGGAAAAATCAGGCGTGGCTGACCACATAGGGAGAGAGAAGGGATATCACCGCCATCTGTGGGATCAGGTTGAGATCATAGAAAAAGAACACCATTGGAAAATTCGTAAACTTAAGGAATCAGCACATATGCTAGGCCACAAAAGTTGTCCTGAGCCGACCAAGCATAGAAATAAATACAATATGAGAACCAGTAATAAGGAGTGCCAGAGAAATGCGATAATAACAACAAAAGTTGCAATATGAGCTCTGGTAAAAACATGCATGATAACAGCAAAAAATTGCAATGTGAGTACTGGTAAAAATGGTTGCTGAAGACAGTAGGTTTATAATACCCAAAATTCGTATACAGATGTCCTCAACGACACATGGCACAGTGGATAAAGGCGTTAGTTAGATCCAGTGAGTATGAGTTCAATACCCGATTAAGGCAGTGGAGAACTTTAAGATTGAAATTCACTGATAATTGACATCTCGTGAGCTAAATAACTGGTTAAGTTCGACATTCCAACCACCTGAAGAAGGGCGGAGCGTACAACGCCGAAACGTTGTAATAAATATGGCGACAAAGATGAAGACAATAGTCCAAATAATGTACAAAAACTTTTTGGTCTTTCCTATTAATAATATAAAAATTTGATGATAAACCTGTTATTATTAAGTTTGGGGAATTTTTTCCATCATGGTCTGCTAATCTTTAACGAATCAATTCATCCTTTTCAAAAGTGGCATGTCAATCGGATAATAGGCGGACCTATCTACTCTTATATATATATATATATATATATATATATATATATATGCGGAAAAAAGAAAGCGTTAATTTAAACAGATGAATATGGGTTATAGCTGTCGCAATTTAATAGACAATGATCTTGAGTGGCTCTTGGGCTTTGTACAGGGTGATAATAATGAACTGTACATAAAAGAAAAACTCATAGAGTAAGTCTGAGATTTCAATTATTATCTACGTAAGTTAAAATAATTCTAGTTTATCTCTAGGATTCAGGTGATAATGTATATTCGTGTGTTTCTCTGTATGTGTCTGTGTAGACATTATGCGTTAGTTTTTCGTGTATTGATTTGTGAACATTTTTACGTACATACCGTTTGTTTTAGATAAACATAGGTTATATTCTTTAAGAATGGATTCAATAAGGTTTGGTGATGTAATATAATATTTTAACATGTCTTTATAGTTGTTAATATTGTTATTAGTAGGACGTCGAAGTACTCCCGACGTAAAGAATTATGATATTTTTTACTTAAGGTGGTATTTGTAAAATCAAAGTTATGGCCAGTTTTGTTCCTGTGTAATACCAGAGTTTGAATGATTGTACTTGGACGCAAAGAGACAAAAATGATCACGGCCACAGACAGGAATTATGCAATGATTTCTGTGGTACACAACGTACATATTCGGTCCACCATTAGACTTCACTGTCAATCACAACATCCTAAGTTTTTGGGAAACTCGAATCAACCATATCAAAACTATACATCGGTTCCTACCGAGGAGGGGAAAGAAAGCCGGATGACCCGTAAGTTTAGTATTAACAAAACTGGCGGAGCTAGTGACCAAGGAAGAAGAGAAAAAGTTACGGAATAGAAGAGTGTGGATAGGGTTTGGGTTACAAGAAGAATTAGGAACAGAAACACTAGTAATGAGCAGAAAGAGAAGATAGTAATCAGGTGCACAGTAGATAAACGATTGACATTGCATTTAAATTTTTGAAGATCAAAGTTAACAGGAAAGCAAAAATGCTGGAAGTGCAAGAGAAGAAAAGGTTTGTATAGAACTTACGGCTACATCTAACTGTTTCGATTGTAAACTGATGCAGTATATTTTCCAATCTATTTTTTTCACTTAAATTCGTAAAATCGAGGAACCAAAGTGGAAAGCTCACCGGAACAGAAACCATGAAATTATTTATAGAAACGGCAGAAATGATATTAATCCATATATGCGTTGAAATAATTTGTTCTGAAATGGCTGAAGTTTTCTACCGAATTTTGTCAAGGGATTCATGAATAATCAAAGCGAGCTTTCACGTCAAAGTGAACTTTCGATTTGCTTCACATAGGATCTCGAAAACTTACATTTAATTACACCTGCGATTCGCTTCTCGGCTTGTTTAGAACTTGTAAATATTTTAATATCTAAGACGTACACGTGTAAAAACCAACCCGTTCCCACAAAAGTTCATAATTGAAAAAAAAAAATCCCTGAATAAATCGACGTTATTTTAAAGAATCTTATTTCCTCTTGTCTAATTGATTAAGGAAGAAAAAAACAAAAGCAAAAAATCAACAAGAACAAAAAAACAACAAAAACAAAACGAAAAAAATCCTAAAATAAAACCTAAAAATACAAAGATTGCCCGATTTAATTTTTTATTTTACTATTTTTCTTTTCATTTGGTTCTTCTCAGGTTTCGAAAACTCACCGCCATTTTTTTCTTTTCCTTCTCTTCTTTTTTTTTGTGGAAAGGAAAAAAAAAGTCGTAAGACACTGTGATTGTCTCCTCCTATTTCCCGTGGCAACAGTAAACATGGCGGAGCAAAGAAGGCAAAAAAACAGACAGGCAAACATATAAGGAAGCAGGGAAAAACGAATGTCACTATATATCTTTTTACGGATGGTTAAATAAATGGCGTGCAACAGAGAAAACGAGGCATGATCTATCATTTAATATTCGTTAATTCACATACATCTATCTATCTAGCATGGTAGCGAGTTAAATAGATATCTGTGGAAAAATCGATGCTAGCGCTTTTCATTTCGTGAAAATATTCTTTGGTTTTATTAAATAGCATCAAAGTATAAAATACAATATAACAATGTGCTATATTAATGCGTAAACATTTTAAATCTTTGATTTTTTTCATTTATCGAAGGTTTGAATATAAGACATGATTATTTACATCATAATCGACTCCCCTTCAAAATGAATTCCTTTAAAATTGTTAAATTTTTGAATTACCCTTACTTAATAATTAGATTCGTTTTAGAATTATATAAAATTCAATAATTTTGTTGCGTACGTACGTGCGTGTGCGTTGATTCAGACATTTGGTTGGTTGATACTGTTTCGCGGCATATAAACATAGCTATGGGTCATTTACTGCCCAAATCTAAATATTTAGGAGGCAATTTTATGGCGTTACGTACAGATATTTGGGACATAATTTTATACTTTCACGGTAGACATATATACATAGTTTTTTGATGATAACAAATGTTGACAGTTTATATATATATATATATATATATATATATATATATTGCTGGTAATTTCACTACAAAAATGTATTGCTAATTGTTTTTATAAAAATGTATTACTGGTAATTTTACTATAAAATATACTTTTTATACTTTTTAATGTTGTATCTATGTTGAATTTGCTATAAAATGTATTGCTGGTAATTTTATTATAAAATGTATTATACTTTTTAATGTTGTATCGATGTGCATTTTGTTATAAAATGTATTGTAGGTCATTTTATTATAAATGAATTTTTATACTTTTTAATGTTCTATCGATGGTCAATTTGCTATAAATTTATTGTTGGTCATTTTACTAGCCATGCCTCTTCCGGATATCTCAGATCTCAACTCTCCTAGTTTTGTTCACCACTGCCGTTCTAGTAATTTACCAACGCTTTATTTCACTAATGTATTGTCAAGGTATTTAATTAAAATGGTGTTTTTTATACTAGAATTCACTCAATACAAAGCTCAAGAACAACCCAAGGTTCTTTGTACCGCTATGGTAATTACTTGACACTTCCTCATATCCTCTACCTTCACAAGAGCCATGTCAGGTCGAATATGGAGCAACACTGCCATGCCCGCTGCTCTTAAAAAGGATCTCCAATCAGTGGTTAACTAGGGCAGTAAATGGACTGCAAATTTTAGTGCCTCCAAAACGAAATTGCTCTCATTTAACCGCTACAGAAAAACTTCCCTTACCCCCAACATGGTTGACGCTCGACTCCGTGAGAGCGCCTCATTGCGCCTTCTTGGCCTCACGTTTTCCAATGATTTGAAGTAGAACAACTACATTGAATCAATAGCTGCATCTACTGCAAGGAAAGTCGGTTCACTGTGCCGTGCCAGAAGGTTTTTTCTCGTCACAGTCCACATTACACATCTAAAAATCTACCATTCGTCCATGCATTGAATATTGTTGCCATATCTGGTTTGGCGTCCTTGCTGTTCATCTGGAGGTTCTTGATAAAACCCAAAGAATGTAATCGATCCTGACTTGGCATCTAGACTTTTGTTACTTTCCAACCGACGTGACATGGCTTCCCTTTGTCTTTTCTACAATTTCATGGCAACTGTTCTGACGAGCTATCTTCTCTGATGCCTCAACTACATGAATTTAGGTGTGCCAGAAGATTAACAGCGAGATCCAACCCTTTTATTGAAGAAATAGATAAATGTAAGCGCTACTTTTACTCCAACAGCTTCTTCTCTCGCACTTCCCAACAGTGGAACTTCCTTCCTCTTACTTGCTTTCCTCATAACTACAATCTTCAAAAATTTAAATGTAACGTCAATCGACATCTTCTGTTATCTTCATCCCCGTTTTTCTCAATCCCCTCTATACACAGTCTTTTCTCTCACTTTCACTCTCTGTAACTCCCCCCCACCCTGTCTGCTAGTGGCACCCTCGCCTTGCTTGGGGTGAAAAGCGTTATATATATATATATATATATATATATATATATAAGCTGAAACTGTTTTTTCACTTTCTAGACTTGATAGAATTATCACTGCGGCCTTGAGGGTGATTAATTATTTTCCACCAACCAAGAAATTTACAACAGACGAAAATGTTGCAAGCCTCGCGATATTGTATCCCTGCTTCCATGGAAAGTGTTCAAACGAGTTATATTCTTTAGTTCCACCAGTTCTAAACTTCGCAGTTAAGACCCGCCATGCTACGTCTGTTTTAATTCCCACCTTCGTCCCTTTCATATTCCATTGGTGAAATGTACGTTCCATTAAAGCACTTTCTTCCCGCGCCCTGCTATTGGGTTGGTGCATAATTATCAGACGTTTTTAAACAATATTTATTATGAAAAAAGAAACATAATTCAACAATTTCTTTAAATGATTATTCCGGAGCGTATGATTATTTACACGCATTTTTATAACCTGAAAATAAAATCTTTTATTAAAAAAAGTAAAAAAAAAACAGCAAATTTTATTAACAGATACTCGCCTACAAAAAAACGCCTGATAATTATGCACCAACCTAATAGTTTGTGGAACAAAAAAAAACAGCAATTTTTATTAACAGATACTCGCCTACAAAAAACGCCTGATAATTATGCACCAACCTAATAGTTTGTGGAACCAAAAAAAACAGCAATTTTTATTAACAGATACTCGCCTACAAAATATGCCTGATAATTATGCACCAACCTAATAGTTTGTGGAACCAAAATCCAAGTGGATTCTTACCTGATTACTACAATCTCAACCTGTTCATCTGTTGTCGGTTATTGTCCCCCAAATATCCCCATAAACTGTGTCTCTTATTTTGTAACCTTCTACCTTGAGTGGCTCTTCTACAGGGTGAAAATTATTGCAAAAATGTTTTTCAGCCTGTTTGTTTTTAAATCTGTGCGAGTAAGGAAAATTGCATTTGAAATCAAAACAAATGTTAATTTATTTTGATCAGTCGTGATTATTTTAATCGGTAAAACTCCAAGCAAGGTAGTAAAGCCACTAAGACACAAGGGGGTTACAGGGTATAGAAGAATTAGGAACAGAGACATTAATGATGAGAAGAAAGTGAAGATAGCAATCAGGTAAACAGTAGATAGCGACCTTACGGCGTTGGGAAATTGACTGGGTCAGACTCGCCAGATCAGGACCAATAATATTGCTGATTCTTTTTGGATTTTATCAAGGAGCTCAAGGTAAATAGCAGGATCACCAGACCATAATATTCGAATTCCATGAAAATCATTTTAGCATCGACATTATCGTCATTTTTTATCTGTTAAACTAGCAACCGATGTAATACAACCTTTATCCATAGCATATTTTCAATCAGACGTTGTAGATGTGACATTTGAAGATAAACATGACACAGTGGGAATTCTCTGATTCGTAAAGAAACTGAATACATTGGTTTGGGATAAAATTATTCGCTGAAAGATTTGGAATGTGACTTAGCCACTGACGCAGATATCAGCTAGGGTTTCGCTCATAATAACGAAACCACGCTATCGGCCAATGGAAAAGCAAGGCTATATTTTGACTTACTATCTAGAAACCACAGAATAAAAAGAAAAAAAGAAACTATTTCAAACATGTCTACTTTAGCTTCATGTTTGAAATAGTTACGCGGTCTGATGTGTGTGAAGGGAGACTTATTTTCCACACTACAGCCTCTTTCCCCATTGATGCAAAGCCGTAAGCCTATCGCTACACGCTCACTGTTTCCATGACATTCTTTGTTTCAGACCTTTACATCTAGGAAACGCCGTGCTACTTTCACGGACTCGAAACACTCTCATTTCTACCGCAATTTTTGTGCCATCCCCACTATGTCTTCCAAAGCGAGAAGAAAAAATCGTTCAGGCCTTAAGGAATGGTACCAACATTTATACTTTGGTTTCCATCTTCAAAGTCCATTCAAGAAACATCAAGAGAATGGTGAATAAATTTTAAAAAGAGGGGACAGTAGAGAGGAAAACTGGATCAGGAGGTCCAGTAAGGCAACTTTAATTATTATTATTATTTAATTATTGCGGTTACAATTTTGCTGTTGCACGCGGCATTTTTTATATATATATATATATATATATATATATATATATATATATATATATATATATATAAAGGCTTAAGCACTAATATTCCATGGTCATAATTTATTCCATTGGAATCGTAAATACGATCCAATTCATCAGACCTACAAATTCAAAAAGAAAACAGAAAAAAAACTACTCCGAAAATAAAAATAGAATTTAGAGAGAGTGTAAGTATGAGAGTGTGGGACGAATGTTAGAGCTAAAGAGAGGGGTAACAGACGAGAGAAGGTGGGGGATTAAACCTTAACAGAAAGAAGTTTTAGAGAGGTGAGTGGAAGAGGTTTAAGTGAGAGATATCTGAATGTTGTCGGATGTCTAATACATTAAAGATACATTTCGTGATGTCATATACACCATAGACGATGTGTATATTTACTACTAATATTAGCTATATATATATATATATATATATATATATATTATCCCGAAATGAAAGTTGTCTTGAGCGGTCACTAGATCTTCTGAATCTATTTATATTAATGCCGGTGTCTCCCAGGGTTCTATTTGTAGACATAATTGGTTGCTAATTTTCATTAATGACCTTCCTGATGTCATCAACTCGTTGTATATGCTGATGAGGCAATTATTTACTCCTGTCTTAATGGTAAATTTGATCGGTTCGATGAGGTCAAATTGGCAGCTGATTTAAAAAATTGACCTATAATCTGTTGTTAACTGGGGCAAGGAATGGCTTGTTAATTTTAACGCCTCTAAAATGAAACTGCTCTCTCTTAATTGTGTGAGATAACCTTTTATGTCTACTCTCAGCATGGCGAGGTACTCGTTGCGCCTCCTTGGGATAACGCTTTCGGCTGACATGAAATGCAGAGATTATATTGAATCAAATGCTAGATCTGCTTCTAGGAAAGTCTGTTCAGTATATCGTGCTAGACATTTTTTCTTGCCAGTCCATGCATTGCATATTGATGTCACATCTGTTTTGGTAATCCTGCTATGTAATTAGAGACTCTTGATAAAAAAACAAAGAAGAAACCGCAATGTTATTGGTAATGACCTGGCATCTCTGCTTCTCACCACCCGAACGCATCTTCAGTGTGCCTTTTCTATAAATATTTTCCGAGTAATTGCTCCGATGACTTTATGAATTTAAGCGTACTCCTAGATTGGCGGTAAGATCTCATCATCTTAAAGTTGAAAGGACTAGATGCAACTATAAGTTCTATGCTAACAGTTTCTTCTATCGCACTTCTCGGTTGTGGAACATTCTTTAATGCCAATTGTCATCTGTATTCTTAATTCCTGTTTATTTTTTTAATTATTTACAGAGTGTGGAGGAATTAGAGACACAAAACGTAAGTAATGAGTAAAAAGAGAAAAGAGTAATCAGGAGGACAGTAGATAGCGATTGACATTGCATTTAAATTTTTGCAGATTAAAGTTGGTTGGGAAGCATGGAAGCAGGAGGGAGTTCCACGTGCGAGAAATTATCTATCTATCTATCTATCTATCTATCTATCTATCTATCTATCCCCGTTTCTTCATATCTATCTGTCTGTCTGTCTCCCCTCTCTCTCAATATATATATATATATATATATATATATATATATATATATATATGATTTATTTTAGGATATTAAAACGTGATATAAAAATCGCTACACAATTACAATTATGTTTAAACACCATAAATGTATCGCTTCAGGCGAGTGAAAGATTAATTTAATTTCAAAAAGCAGAATACTTTAAAAAATAGATTTGTGGGCTTTGTCATGATTAACCAATGTGACCTACGCTAAATTCAAATTTACCGGAGAATTTTTTTAATGTAGGTGATGACACGATGTTTTCTGCATATATAAGTTAGACAATTTCCGTGTGGACAGCTAGAGATTGTTGCAGTGTTGCGTTAGATGTATCGAAATCAGACGCTAAAACTTACCAAAAAGCAAAAGCGGAAGTAATGGGGAGGTAATTTGTTAGTTAGTTATATGCTCGTTCAGGTTCTTACATGAAATTTTGTAGTTGATAAATAAAAGACACTTTTAAGAAACTGGCAAACAACCGTTCCGGAAAAATCTCTATTATGTATTGATCCCGCTTTTAAATTAAATGTTATCTACATACTCCTTTTGTTCACATTATATATATATATATATATATATATATATATATATATATATATATATATCGCTCTTCATTAATGAATTGGGCCCTCTGGCTGCTGGTGTTTGTATACATCCGTATATAATGCGTTAAAATATTCCATTTGATTGCTGTGCACCGATAGCAGATGCAAAATCAGATGAAATAATGAAAGTATTTTTTGGTTTTAAATAACCTGCAAAAGGTTGATAAGCCGTAAAAAACAAATTAATCTTTTACTCTATTTTGTTGTTAAAGAGTAACAGATTTAGAAGAAATTGACAACTAATAAAAAACCCCCCAAAAACAAACTTTTTTCTTTTATTTTTAAAACCTTGGCAATCATGTGATATAAAAATCGCTGTAAGCTGTCAACATTATAATTCTAATGTATTATCAATAAACCGCTGTAACAATGAATTAATGCTTGCCTGATTGCTTTTCATGTCTGTCTCTATGTCTAGAAAAGGGGGTAATATCGATCCAGACGTGTGACAGTGTGTCAGTCAAGAGTGTAGGCGAGTCTGTCTGTCAATCGCTCGCCTAAATAGTCATCGGCGTAGCCAGTCTGAAAGACCTTTAATCAACTCTGAGACATTCTTTGACATCAGTCACCTGACATGTGAGGCGCGAGAGAAAATCTGTTAAAATCGTTGTGGCTCATTAATTTTTAAAAATCATTTCACCCGACCCAGGCAAGAGGACAATGTTACTAAGACGCAATGGGTTACTAGATGTGAAAAAAAATAAATTGAGATGACTTTAGGGAACCGAGAACGAATCCTAAATAGGAAACAAGTGCTAAATCTCTGGTCTTCTTCAAAAATCCGGGAAGACAGGCAAACCTGCTTTTTTTAATTTTTATATATTTTTTAATCAGTATCATCCGAAGCAAGTCAGTATAGCCGTTATGACGCAAGAGGTTACAGGGTGTGGAGGAGTTAGGAACAGAAACATTAATAATGAAAAGAAAGTGTAAAGCGCATTCAGGAGGACAGTAGATAGCGATTGACATTGCATTTAAAATTTTGCTGATTAGAGTTGGTTGGAAAGCATGCAACCGGAACGGTGTTCCATACGCGAGAAATTATCTATCTATCTATCTATCTATCTATCTATCTATCTATCTCATTCTCTTCATATCATATCTATCTATCTATCTATCTATCTATCTATCTATCTATCTATCTATCTATCTATCTATCTATTCTCTTCATTCTATTCATCTATCTATCTATCTATCTATCTATCTATCTATCTATCTATCTATCTATCTATCTCAGGCTCTTTAAATCTATCTATCTATCTATCTATCTATCTATCTATCTATCTATCTATCTATCCACTAATTGGTATTACCCCAAGCAAGTCAGTGCAGCCGTTATGACGCAAGAGGTTACAGGGTGTGAGGGAATTAGGAACAGAAACATTAGTAATGAGGAGAAAGAGAAAAGACTAATCAGGAGGACAGTAGATAGCAACTGACATTGTATTTAAATTTTTGCAGATTAAATTTAGTTGGAAAGCACGGAGCCGAGAGGGAGGTCCACAAGCGAGAAGTGCGAGAGTTTAAATTGCTAACATAGAATTTACAGTTACATCTAGTTAGCTCAACAGTAAATTGATGAGTTCTCGACGCCAGTCTAGTATTGCACTTAAATTTAGTCTAGGTACCATAGAGAAGATCTCATCCGAACATGAAAGTATTTATAAAAAAGGCACAAAGAGGCAACCTTACAGCTGTGGGCAAGTGATTGAAGCTGAGCCACCAGGTCAGGGCCAATAATATTGCTGATTCTTCTTTGGATCTTATCAAGGAGCTTCAGGAAAACAGCAGGGACACCGGACCATATATGACAGCAATATTCTAGGCATAGACGAATGGCAGACTTATAGATATGCAAGATAGATTCCGGAGAGAAAAATGTCTCGCCCGACACAGTGAACCCATGGATTCAATGCAGTCTTTCCACCTCATGTCAGCTGAGAATGTTAGTCTGGGAAGGCGCAATGAGCCAATTTCTTTGAGAATAGAATCAGTTATGCTGACGGAAGACAGAGAGAGATTTTCAGATGAATAAAAGTTTAGCATTTAAATTGACAAACCATCTTTTGCCCCAGTTAACGACAGTCCTGAGGTCGTTTTGTACATCAGCTGCTATTTTGACCTTGTTTGACTAATCAGCTTTAATACCGAGGCAGGAGTAATTGATAGTGTCGTCAACGTAGATGTCAAGTTGAGAGCTGATGTCATCGGGAAGGTCTGCAATCAAGATTGAAAACAGCGTAGGACCATAGATGGAGCCCCGTGGGACACCCGTCTTAGTACGAAATGATGTAGATGAGTGGCCGTTCAGGACAATTTTCATTTCATGATTTGATAGGAACGACTGGATCAACTCAAAAATGTGCCAACTTGAGGAGAAGAGCTGAATACCAGACCCTGTTGAAGGCTCTCGAGATGTCCAATGCTAACATTCAACATTTTTATTTAGAGTATGACAGATACTTTTCGCAATTATCGTTAGCAGATCATCATTTGATCTGGAGAAACGAAAGTCATATTGCTTGTCTTGAGAAAAGGTCATGTGATGATAGAGGGTGAACCAATTCAGTACAGTTATACTTCTGTAATGATTTACCTTTTCCCTGAAAAGTGGAGAGATTTCTGCGAAACTCGTAGTTGGCAGATAAGTCTTTGAACTTTATTTCAATTTATTTAACGTATATATATATATATATATATATATATATATATATATATATATCCTGGTTGAGGCAAAAAAAGATCCAGGTGCTCGAAAAAAATGCATCTCCTACTAGGGGCACAAAGTCAATGACTATGTACGGAGCAAAGTCAAAAGTCTTGTAAAAAGCAATCTCCCTTCACCACTATTAAGCGTCGGAAAATGGCATGATTTGAACACATCAATGTAGTAGCCTCTGCAAGACCATCATACAAAGGCGGACGTTGAAGGCGGACACAAGACGGGACAGCAAAGGTGCTGGTCAGACAACATCAAAGATTAGACGGACATGAGAATGCCAGAACTCCTGAGAGTCCCCTGACAGAAATTGACTGTTTCTTCTGACCTTAGGTCTTCCCCTGACAGAGATTGACTGTTTCTTCTGACCTTAGGTCTTCCCCTGACAGAGATTGACTGTTTCTTCTGACCTTAGGTCTTCCCCGTCAGATGATTGAAGTAGTCATGGGATTCGTGATAATGATGACACACACACACACACACACACACACATATATATATATATATACATAAATATAAATATACACAATTATACTTCGACATGAAAACAATAGACAAAAACTAAAAATCCTTGAAGCATTATACATGAAACAGTTGAAACCCAATCAAAACAAAATCAATTATGGCATCTCTACAAATATTCTTAAAATTTCTATAATTGGTAACAGAAGCCATTGGTTTATACCAACGGCTTGCCATACTTCATACTTTATACTTCTCCAATTCCCTCTCGTGTATTCATGAGATGCGGTGCGATTTTCGCTTCTAGCGTCTTATATGCACGTGTCTATCGTTGCTTAGAAATCATCTATGTAAACAATGACAGACTATCATCACTGTCTTGTCCTTATATTATGTTGCAATTGACATCTTTGATAATGGCTTATGCAAGCCGAAAGCTTAGATTGTATTAAATAAAAAAATATGGATCAATATTGTGAATTTCTTTCTTTGTTCAACGATAATGTTATTAAACTTATCAGATGTTACGAAAAAATTCACATAAAATAAATAGACAACACATCACTATATTATTTAATGAAACGTGTATATATATATATATATATATATATATATATATATATATATATATATATATAATGAGGAGATACCACACTAATTACACTCTAATTAATTGAAACAACCGCTTTAGTTTCCTTTCTTTCACCATACGGTCAGTTTTAGACCCACTGGAGTGACAGGGTGTAATCGATTTCTATGGTTTCCTCACGGTAGGTCATTTGCAGTGGTGTGCAGTAATATAAATCTATTTTCGGGGTGTATGATGAAACTTGTTTGACCGTAAAACATATTGTGTCATCTATGATTGAATCAGATTTTTATCACGCCCAAACACTATTGTCTATACTGTCAATTAATTGTCCCACGGCCATTGCCTGAGATAGACGTTACTCCAAGGAGGCGTACGAAATTTGCAACGCTGCACGAGCACACTGGCAAGCCTTAGCAGTGAGCAAATCAAAGTACTATAGACTGGCTAGAAAAGTGTCCTGATTTAAATACAATCGAATCTGTGGTCAATCTGCAAGGAACAACTTTGTGGAATGGACATACGAACTGCTTTTGGTTAAATACGATAATATTCACCTGACTCTCGGCCGGGCGACAATAACTTAGGGGTAAAATTTCGATCCCGGCTTGAAGCAATGTCTAACCACACTGATGAGGTGTGTTACAGTGAAACAGTCTGTTCGTGGAAGACAACATATATATATATATATATATATATATATATATATATATATATATATATATATATATATATATATATGAATAAATAGAGACAAGAGGAAAATCTATATTTAGCTGAAGCATTTCGTCCTCTGCAGGACTTTATTAAGGCAATGTAGGATTTATTATGCCGCACATGTTTATATACACAGAGGTAAGGATGTCATCGGTTTATCAAGGCTTTTAAAATTGAGAACGTTCATGAATGTTCATTAGATTGTTGAAAGGTCAATAAAAACATTTAAACACACGCACACAAACTTACCAGACTCCATCCGAATCATACTAGTAGAAAATACAAGCATGTTAACCTCATCCACATGTAAATAAGGATTAAAAATAATGGAAGCCTTTATAATAAGAAAGAAAAAAGCCAACACTCAATAATATTAACTACGAACACGGTCAAATCTGCTGACTGTGTTCGGAAAATAAAACATCCCTATAACTCTAGAAACACACACACAACCTTTACATCCAGTTAGAAAGTAAAAATTAAATCCTCCTTGATAATGGCTAAAAGTATAGCCGAAAGCTTACAGAACATTTGGACAGTTTCTACACTGTGTTCACAAAAGAAAGAAAAGATAATTGTCCAACGTCTTTAATGGAACATGTATAAATCAGGGATTGTTGCCTAAATACACAATATATATATATATATATATATATATATATATATATATATAAAAAGAAATATGTTGTAGTGGTTCCAACGAGAGAAAAGTATGTATATTAAAAGAAGAGAAGGGAGGTGGTGCAAACGTATATATATATATATATATATATATATATATATATATATATATATATATATATATATATATGAACGGAGGCACTGGGCCTCGATGGTAAAATACCAAATAAAGATCTTTGCCACGAAATTATTTTAATCTGATCGGTGTAAGTTTCCATAATGAGGCGAGTTTAAAACCGGCTTTCTTCACCTGTAAACCCCAGAGCCCGGAATACTTATCCGATAATAAGTTTAAAGCAGAAGATAATCTAAATTGTATCCTCATTGTCTATCGGAAAAGTTTATATGTGGAGATGCACCTGGAAGCTGGTAATCCTCTTTGACGCGTGCAGAAAATATTGGTTGGGCGCTATTGTACATTTTGCACGTGGGAGACGAAAGCAAAACGTGTAAACACATGCTTCTTGAATATGGCATTGTGAGACGAACAATAAAAATAAAATACAGCCTCATATTTGCTCACTGTGCCAAGAGGAGATGCTGGCAAATATTCACTTTCCCCAAACAAGAAGAGCGACTATTAAAAAAAAAAAAATCGGGGTATAAAGACCACATATAAAGACATGAAGAAAGATCAACTCGAGGCAGTGTAATGACTAACAAGCTTGTCTCACTAGATCATTTATGAATGATTAATGAGCTCGATCCTCACTTGGTGCCCCCTGAGTTTGTGCCACATCTGAGTTTGGAAAATCACTATAAACATGCGAATAAATATCTCTTTGCACATGTATAGGGCATTTTGACATGATCTAATTGTTCGCTTGTCTCGCTAGATTAATTATGACTGATTAGTGAGTTCGATCCACACTTTCGGCCTTGTGCCACATCTAAGCTAAGTTTAGAAAATCATTATTTCTCGTCACCTCGACGTGGTGTCATGGTTAGCACGCGTGTCTCGCTAGATCAATTACGACTGAATAGTGAGTTCGATTCACTCTGAGTGCCTTATACTTATTGACTATCTTTAATGTGCTCTATCAAACATAAACTTCCGTTTTAATTGGGACGATTTCTACGGCTTATCAACAGTTTCAGGTTATTTAAAGCCAGAAAACATTTTCAGATTGTAAATTTTTTTTGAGATAATAATGATTCAAGTCTTACTCTTACTAATTAACCCATCGCTGGGGGTGGGGGGGAGAACAGGTGAATTCATGCCTTTCCATCGGGTATTTGTGCCTAAGTGAATATAATGAACCAGAATGGAATTCGAACTTTTGGCTCTCCGATTTACAACACAGACATAAAATGTTAAGAACACCCAAATATATATATATATATATATAATGAAGAAATTGAGATAGATAGATTGAGATTAATCTATAACTGGGGGGGGGGAAGAGGTGGATTCATACCTTTACCAAGGCTACTTTTGCCTATGTAAATATAACGAAACCAATAGAAATTGGAACTCGGCACGTCGATTAACCATTCCAAACCATTATTCATTGCACCACTCGCACACCCAAGCTTACAGTACTTGGTATTCCAACGTAGTCACCCATCTAGGCATTGATCTGTCTCGATGTTGCTTAACTTCAGTGACCATACAGAAACCTCGGTGTTTCAATGTGATGTAACCGTAAACCGCTGGGTAGTACGAACCCGCCTCTTACACATGTTATATTTATTCCTTACTGTCCAGAATGCGCCGTTCTACACACCCTGTTACAGGCTTTTTGAAGTTCATGAAGCCGAAGTAGATGTTTTGTTGGCATTGCGATTATCTTTCGATTAGAAATCGATGCTTGAATATCTCTTTCGTGATGTTTCTTCTACGGTGAAATTCAAACCGTTTTCCCATAATTTCTCCTACTTGGGGCATTAGCCTTTTCAGGATGATTTTCATCGTCACTTCATATAAAGTCCGGGTACCATAGAGGAATTATTCTGACCTATTGTTCTGGTACCTAGACATTTATGAATTTAAGCGCAGTACTAAATAGGCAGCAAAGGCATTTTTCATTTGAAATGGTTAGATGTGACGATAAATGCGATACTAAAATCCGTAGAAGTATTGAGATGACCAAAGACGCATTCCAAAAGCTGAACAGAGTATTGCAAGACAGGAGGAGTTCTTTGGTAACAAAGAAACGAATATTGAGCTGCTACGTGACATCTGTTCTCCTTTACGGCAGCGAATGTTGGACGGTTTCCTCAAAGATGAAGAAGAGACTCAAGGCGACGAAGATGTGGTTCTAGAAAAAGGTTGCTAAGGATATCATGGAGTGAGCGTGTGAGCAACGATGAGGTCTTGGAGAGGATGCAAACAAGGAGGAAGCTTATACTTAACACCAGGAAGGGGCAGCTGAAGTTTCTGGGACACCTAATGAGGAAGGAGGGACTGGAGAATCTGATACTCATAGGGCGGATAGAGAGAAAGAGAGACAAGGGAAAGCAATGCATGACATAGCGGGCTTAAGCAAGTGGATGACAGAACGTGGTCCGGGAGAGGTGGCAGAGGGACGAAACTTATTGAGAGGTTAGGGGAAAGTGGAGAGCCATGTTCGACTACGTTCTGAAAGCACATGGCACATAAAAGAAAAAAAAAAGAAATGTAACCTCTATCAGCTAGCAGTTTATTATCTCACACTTCTTGCCTGTGAAATTCACTTCCGGCTTTGTACTCCCCAGTCAACTTTGTTTTTCAAAAATTTAAATGCAATGTCAATCGCTATTTTCTGTCTTCTTAATTCCTGTTCTTTTTTGTTCTCTCTCCTTAATAGTGTTTTTTTCCCTCATATTTTTCACATTCGGTAACGCCTTGCGTCTTAGTGGCTTTATTGCCATGCTTGAAGAGAAATGATTAAAAAATACTTGCGGGATTGATCTGACTGATAGTCCTCTAGTGTGAGTGGCTAGTATAAAAAATGTCTGGTTTCTCAATTGCTTCTTGAAAAGCATTAGACTTTGAAATATTAGCCGATAATAATGTGAATCGTATTGTGTTAATGTTTCATGAGCTCTGTGCATGATTTAAATGAGATAAAAAAAATCAATACAATAAATATTTAAACAACTACTCTCGTTCGTGGCACACAAATAGATTAAATCCGAAAACGCTGATATTACACCTATTCTTTTCAATGAATATGTATGGAGCCGTTTGTATTTTTATCGAACACATATTTCTGAAAATCTATACAGTTATACCTCGCTCTACGTCGTTAATTGGTTCCAGAGGTCACGACTTAAGTCGAAATAACCACACTATAAACGGCAAATAGGCACTCCCCAAAGATAAAGATGTGGACAATAGTTCGAATAATGTAAATAGTGTACATAATACCTCATCTCAGAAATATAGACAGATACTGAAAGGCCGAAACGTTGTAATAAATATGGCGACAACGATGAGGACAATAGTTCGAATAATGTAAATAGTGTACATAATACCTCATCTCAGAAATATAGACAAATACTAAAAGGCCGAAATGTTGTGATAAATATGGCAACAAAGATGAGGACAATAGTCCGAATAATGTAAATAGTGTACATAATACCTCATCTCAGAAATATAGACAAATACTAAAAGGCCGAAATGTTGTGATAAATATGGCAACAAAGATGAGGACAATAGTCCGAATAATGTAAATAGTGTACATAATACCTCATCTCAGAAATATAGACTGATACTGAAAGGCCAATATGTTGTAATAAATATGACGACAAAGATGAGGACAATAGTTCGAATAATGTAAATAGTGTACATAATACCTCATCTCAGAAATATAGACTGATACTGAAAGGCCGAAACGTTGTAATAAATATGGCGACAAAGATGAGGACAATAGTCCGAAAAGTGTAAATAATATACATAATACCTCATCTCAGAATTATAGACAGACTCTGAAACTGATATTGTTACATATTTACAATTTACTTATTTATTTTCATTTTCTTGCAGCACTTGAATGACACAGAACTGATGTTTCGTGAATGACCGATTAATGACAATTTAACTATTTCTAAAGAAATCCTAAAATAGACTCCGATCTCTCGTGACACATAATAGATGCCATTTCATTTGCCGTTGCATTTTGATGTTGTTCTTGGTCAATAGATGAAAGTCCCTTTAACTCTTACCATTTTAAAAAGTTTTTATTTAGTCTTTGTTTTTTTTAATTGTCTGCATTTCTAGTTATTTTTAGTCATTTTTCATTTTATTACATTTATTTCGTTCAGACATTTTTCTTTCACGTTCTATATGAGTTTTGCTAACGTTTTCTTCATTCACCACCTCCTTTTTTCTTCTTCTTTTTTCTCTCCTTTATTCTTTTCATTTGTTCTTTTACGTTTTATATTATTTTTCCTTCTTATTTTCATTTGTCATAATTTTTCCTTTTTATTCTTTTTCCTTTCCTTGTTTTTTCACTCTTTAAATATCCTTTGCTTTCCTTTTTTCTTTTGTCATAATCTTTCTATTTTCTTTTCTTCTTTCCTTTTGCCTCTTCACGCTTTATATTACTTTTGCTTTTTTCCTTTGTCATCGTCTTTTTCTTTTTCCTTTTCTTGTTCTTTCACTCTATAAATATCCTTTGCTTTCCTTTTTTCTTTTGTCATAATCTTTCTATTTTCTTTTCTTCTTTCCTTTTGCCTCTTCACGCTTTATATTACTTATGCTTTTTTTCCTTTGTCATCGTCTTTTTCTTTTTCCTTTTCTTGTTCTTTCACTCTATATATATCCTTTGCTTTCCTTTTTTCTTTTTTTCATAATCTTTCTATTTTCTTTTTTCTTTTTCCTCTTCACGCTTTATATTGCTTTTGCTTTTTTTCTTTTGTCATCGTCTTTCTTTTTCTTTTTTCTTTTCTTATTCTTTCAAACTTTAAATTACTTTTATCGTTTCCTTTTTTTTTTTCATCGTCTTTTTCCCCTTAATATTTTCCTTTTCTTGTCGCTTCATGCTTTATATTACCTTTTTTCCTTTGCCCTTTTCTTCTTTCTAATTTCTTTTATTTCTTCTTCTTTTTCGTTTCACGCATCATGTTAGTTCCATTTTCTTTTTCCTTCATACCATTTTAGTTTATTTTCATCTGCTTCCGTAATAATCATTCATTGCTTCTTCTTTTTCATTTAGTGTTTTTTACATTTGTTAATTCTCGAACGTTACAGAATAAAAGGCAGAGTTTATGCGGATATATTGCGAAGAAAACAGATAAGCCTAGATTTGAACAGGTTAAGATTATAGTAATCGGGGAAGCATCCACTTGGGAGTCAGTTCTATAAAGTAGTGGTTCACGGGAAGAAGCTGTTCGAGTGGAACTTACATCTCACCAGTAGAATCCGAAGAAAATAAAGGGGGTTCGCTAAAATGGCGGTTCTTGGTCGTGAAGATTAGAACTGATGGAACTAAATAATGTAGTTCGCCTGAACATTTTCCATAGAATTAGCAATAGAGCAGCGAGAGGTTTGCGACGTTTCATCTATGGGGAAGAGGTTGTAGGGTGGAAAATAATTCATCACCCACAAGGACGTGGAGACGCTTTTGGACTCTATCGAGATTGGAAAGTGAAGATTAAACCGCTCATACTCATGTATGACCAGTACCACATTATCGGCCTGATCTGTCTCTTGTCAAGGTAAAGGACAGCAGAATGAAGATTACTTGCTGGAACCGACCATTTTTCCAGCATCTTTAACAATGGTTTTGTTTGTTTGAGCTCCATTTGAGGTTTGGATTGGTGCAAAAGCCAAGGGATCTTATTATCTTTTTTGACATAAAAATAGTCTTTCTCTTTCCCTTTGCTCAGGTATAGTGTTAGTTCTTATCATCAGTTTTTTACGCCAAAAATAGGGGGTCACATTATACACAGGTATTCTTTTTTTGAAGAGGTTAAAAATTATTCATTTTCGGTAACCGATTGTACTTTACACAGGTAAATATTTACCGTATATAAATCTTCGTATTAGATATTTTACGGTAAGTAGTTTTTCTCGGCAATTTGCTGTAGCTTTGTATAAAAAATGAAGAATATTTATTTTCTATAAAATACTTTGTGGGTGATTTGCAGTACTGCAATATTTCACTACGGTAGGCCCACTAGTATTGCTCAGAAACTGGGGTCGCATTATACAAGAGTTATATAAAAAATACAGGTTTTTCAAAAAGAAATTCAGGGGTCGTACTATACACGGAGAAGGATTTTACATGAGTATATACGGTAAGAGTCCTTTTTATTGTATGTTTCAAGAATTATTAATTGCTGTTTTTTGGTATAAGGAGAACAATATATTTTTTTTCTTTTTCTCAAATTCATTTTGTTCTTTCAGGTTTTTGTTTTGTCTAACATTTGAATAAAATGAAATCTTTTCGTTGGACTGTACGGGTGGTGGAATGGCTGAGCGAGAAGTCGTCGAGCCGAGTTCGAATTCGGGTCGTGATCATTACATTCCTTCTTTATTTGCCGTGTTACCATAACATCTATGCCGCCATCTATTTACTCAAGCTCACTAAGTATGTTAGGCATTTTTCCTCTGTCCATCTTGTCCTTTATCTGTCCCGTGAGTATCAGATTTTCCAAGCCTTCCTTCCTCATTATATGACCCAGAAGCCTAAACTGTATCTTCTTGATATTAAGTATTAGTTTCCTTTTTGTTTTCATTTTCTCTAAAACTTCTTCGTTGCTCACATGTTCGGTACATGGTATCCTCAGCATCCTACAGTAGAACCACATTTATGTTGTTTCAGGTCTCGTCTTCATCTTTTAGAAGATCATCCAGCACTCACTGCCATGCAGAAGGAATGATATCACAGTTTTGTATACTTTTCCTTGTTTCTAGCGAAATTTTCTTATTTCTTCGTACTCTGCTTAGCTTTTGGAATGCTTCCAGAGTTATCGCAATATGCCTTCAGATTTCAGGGTCGCTCTTTCCGTCCGCTTAATTTTTGGTACCTCCGATTTGCAATTCGTACGTTGAGCTCACCTTTTACTAACAATCAAGCATTCTGTCTTCTTGAAGTTGATGTTTAATCTTTTCTTCTTTCTTTCCTTCACTACCTTCCTTTCTTCCCCCCTTTCTTTCTTTCTTTCTTTCTTTTTCTTTCTTTCTTTCTTTCTTTCTTTGTCTGCTACCAACACTGTGCCAACTGCATATCTTATGTTGTTAGGATTTTGGCCACCTATAATAAATCCCAGTAGGACTTCTAGTTCTCTTAAAATTGCCTCGCTGTATAGGTTGAATAAATCCGTCGAGAATGTATGTTTGCTGTCAGTATAGGTCCTTGATTATTCTAATATCCTTCCCAAATATATCAAGGTTGCTGAGCAGTTTCAACAGATCATTTTGGCGTATTTTTTATACTCTTCCTTCTTTTCCCTTTTTCTGAGGTTTTATATGTTTTCTTGCTTCCTTTTTCGAAGACCTTCGTCTTCAGCTTTGCTTTTCTCTTCTCACCTTCTACCTCTTCTTTTTACCTTGTTCCCTGTCACTTTGTATTTTTTCTCTTTCCTATTCGACCACTCTCTTCCCAGCATGCCTCTTCACCCGCTTTCGTTCGCTTCTTTATTTCTCCTTTTTACTTTTTCATACATTTTTCTTTCCAATGTATTTCTTCTTCCTTGTCTTTTATTTCTTTAATTTCTGCTTTTACATACTTCGTCTTCTGATATTACCTTCTTTATTAGCATCACAGTCGTCCATATCTTCACATCGTCTTATGTCTTCTTCCTTTTCACTGTCTACGACATTCTTTGCGTGTTTATCATCTTTTCATACAATGCCTCCTTTCTTTACAAATACCAACTCAAACAGAGATAAAAACACTCACTTTAAAAATGCACCATACGATAACTTGAATGACTAAAAATTAAATTTTAGACACAAAAGAACAACGGAACTGAAATGTGAGTATTGCATAATCTTTGTAGAAATAATTGAATTAAAACCGAAAAAGTAATTAAAAAAATACCCTTCAGGCGTGCCATGGCAGTAATTGTTTTTTTTTTAATTTAAGGGGTGTGAGTTGCAAAAAATAAAATTCTGCCTGGTGACAGAGACAGTAATGAGGTTGCCTCTGATACCAATCGACCTTGCTTCATGATGGAAATTACCATAAGCTAAAGATCGTAGTGGTACCATACAGGGGGCTGGAAAAGTAGGTATACAATAATTTCCTTCCTGTTCGACAACTCTATTTCCGGTATGCAACTTCTCTACTTCTTTATTTCTTTTTTTTTTTCATACATTCTTCTCTCCAAACGCTAAGGGCTATAGTATTACCATAGTGGGGTTGAAAAAGTAGGTATACAGAAAGTTCACCGGATCTCACCATTTTTTCACGAAATTACCACGTCTGTATACTTCGACGCATAAAACTTAACTCCCTGAAAACACTTTTTAAATCTCTAACATTTACACGTACGGCTCACCCAATCAAAAATCAATGAACCTATTTTGTCTATCACCTGACCATAAAGTTCAGCCTCAGAAGGTCTGAGCCAAAATACACTGCCACTAAAAAATAATAGTCTGAAACTAATGTTTAACATTCCTTATTTAACCATCCAAATAATTAATTTAATTAATCTATGAATTTTATTTCAACTATAATATGTTTAACAGAAACAACACTTATACGCTGCATCAGAAAGATGCTGTTAGAATTTCTAGGGTACATAACGAAGAAAGAGGGCTTAGAAAATTTAATACTCACAGGACATATTGAAGGCAAGAGGCGTTGAAGAAAACAGTGCATGACCTACCTAAAGTGTTTGTGTAAATGGTTGGCAGACCAGCAATAAGGAGATGTAGCCAAATGGCAAAATTTACTAAGGGCTGTAAAGGACAGGAAGTTGTGGACAGCCATGATCGTCTATGTCCTGATTAGTATGTGCCATTTGGTTACGAGAGTATTGATTTATAGAAAGACAGGAAAGGCTAAGAAGCTTTGAAACTATTAAAGCGGGCGAGAAGACGTTATAAATTTAAGTAAAATATATTTTGTATGAATAGTGCAAAGAAAAATCACAATTATTTTTTTTAAATATCAGAATAAAGCTCAACTAATACTGGCTGATCGGTTAATGAATGCCAAATGTTTCCTTATAGGGAAACGGTTAATATTATCATGACCAATATTATTCGGTATTGTGGAAGAAGAAGGGACTAAGCATAAACTACAAGACAGAATGCATGTTCATCAGTAAAAAGATGAGCCCGAAATGCGGTTTGTAAGTTCGAGACACTAAAATCAAGCAGGTGCGAAAATTTAAACAACTGGGAAATGTTTTGACGGACGACGGCAAGTGTGACGCTGAGATCCGAAGACATATTGGGATGGTCAAAGACGCATTCCAAAAAGCTAGGCAGAATATTAGGAGACAGGAGGATTTCTTTGGTAACAAAGAAAAGAGCACTGAGCTGTTACGTGATATCTGTCCTTCCTTACGGCAGCGAATGTTGGACGGTCTCCTCAAAGATGAAGAAGAGACTCGAGGCAGCGGAGGTATGGTTCTACAGGAGGATGCTAAGGATATCATAGACCGAGCGTGTGAGCAACGATGAGGTTTTGGAGAGGATGCAAACAAGGA